GACACATTTAAAAGGGAAACCGTGGGGTCTGGGAAACGAAGGGAGACAGACCGAGGAAGTGGGTTACCGAAAAGTTCGAAGCATAATTAATGTTTCGACGGTACTTTCGGTGAGGATTTTCATTTGAATGGTGATTAGGAAACTGTTGAAGTTTATGAAAATTCGCAATTTTAAATGCTTGCGTATGAAAGTCAGGATTTAATAGAATCTTGAGCAACTTACTAAGGACACCTCTGCGCTGATAATAAAACATAAACAGTAGGGTGAATGCACTAGCAAATGAACACGTGTCAGTGAGTGGATATTATACATATAATAACGAGTAGATTAAATTATTACAATGAACGAATAATTAAATATTGATTTTCTTCAATTTTTTGCTTTATATTCAAATAATTTTTGCGGCATTTCATTGGATAGAAATGTTCATTTACTTAATATTGTTCATTGACTGGTGAATCCTATATTTTTTACTTTCTAATTTAATTAATTACATTCCTCCAATTTTTCAAATATAAATATATACGTTATAAAAAGGTATAGATATTCAAAAATCCAATTTTCTGTTGCCAAATATTTAGTAATATTATTGTCATTAATATTTGACATTAATATGTAGTTACGAAATTTCTTAAGTGTTCATTTATTGGTGCGTTTAACCTATCGAGTTTTATTAAACCATCATTTTAATGTATTTTGGAGATTGGGAAATGTGTTAGAAATACACAAACATTCGTAGTCTGATGATTAAGTTGTTTATACTGATTTGAAAGTTCGTGGAATATTTTACGAACATTAGAATTGATGTTAAAGGATTTATTGAATTGTACATTGAAGCTTCATTAATTCTCTGTTGAACTGTGTGTTTTAGGGTGGCATGCGTATTCATGTTTGCTACAAATATGTAAGAGCCACAGATTGATGGCGACACTGATTACTTTTCCTTAACAAGAGAACCATCGACGGTTAAGGTATATTTATTTCTCCAAGAGCTAAACAACGCAGAGTTCTTGAAAAAAATATAAAATAATGGATTGAATAATTTATGCATTCATATATTGCACTGAATATTGCTCAAGATGTTTAAAAACGTATCATTTTCAATTTGATGCATTTCTATAAGAAATTGTCAATTTGTCATGTTTACTGCTTAGATAGGTTTTTCCAGTGTTGAGTTCAGACCGTTGGTATTTCCTGAAGCTAAGGCAGTAAAATCTGATTTATAAGCAATCATAAATGTTGGCAATTGGATAAGAAGACAGTTGTAAAGATAATAATTCAACAGAAACTGGGAAAGCTTCGACATTGTTCGATAAAACTTTTCTAATACTAACGATAATTGCCATGAAGTTAGAAAATTCAGTAGTTGTGGACACGTGCAGTGCCTGGGATAGTTATCTACGTATTGTTAGTAGCTACTTCAATTAACGACCTATTGTTAGTAACTACCATCTACCCAGAGATTTTGATAGTTCAAAACACCTAATACTATAATACTCAGTGGTTTCGTAAGTCGTATGAACGCGAACCTAACTCAGATTATACCTACAACCCATTAGTAGAACTAACCAGGAAATTCTGTATTCAACGACAGACTGAAATGTTCTGAAAGGTCTTGTAGAAACGAGGATTGATTTCGGTAGAGAGAACAGTGCTCTGTAGTAATCTTCTCAGTGTCAACAGTATTATCTGGTTACTTATTCGGATCTATAGACTGAATTTGAATTTTCACTGTCAATTAAAACGGCTAATTTCTGTTTGTTGCAAATACATTGTATAATGGATATTGAATGATTATATTCTCATAATTGAGAAACCTTTCGATGGAAATATTGTACTATCGACCAAAAACCACTACACTGCTGGACGAAAGTATAAGCTCACTTCATTTTTTGGCGTTTTCCGTGATTTATGACTAGAATTATTCATTCCACGTTTGTAGGATTACACATAAATACATGCAAAATAATTCTATGAAACTATTTTTGTGTTATTTGCACGTATAATGAATTATTACGACTATTTAGTGAAATAGTGCTTTCCAGTTGGACAACAGTATAACTTATAGGAAACAATTTATTTAATATCAAAAGACACAATTTTTAATAATTTTAACAAAGCTCTGTACCAGTTAATTAAATAATTAAACATTCTGTTCAGCAGTGTATTTTGAAGAATTTTACAATTTTATGTATTTATTTGTTTATTTAGTTATTATACGGGTATAAATCCACTATGCATACGTAACAATTAAATCAAAAATAAAAATAAAACCACTTACAGCAGCATAATGAACAGTAAGGTATTAATCTTAATAGAGAGTTTATAACTAAACATTATTGTCCTGTCTAAGGATATTATTACAATTGCATGGAACGACATGCTTCTTTCATGTAATATTTAAAAGTTTCAGCAATATAATTAGTAGATATCTGAATTTTTAATAACTGTATTAATAATATATGTACGATTATTTGTAGTTATACATATAAGTCGGTTTAAATAGGGAATTTCCTCGACTCACAGAGTGAATTAAAATTTTATGTCGACGCTGTGATACATAGCATTTAATGAGAGAATGCTGTACTGATTGTGCCCATGTAGTTAGGACTCCGGAAACTTGGTATGCGCATGATTCCAGTAATGTATCCATTACGAGTCTATGTATGTAATCCACGAGATTTTAAAAAGAAGAAGAATCGTGAGATTCCGAGGCCGACACTGATAGAATACCGGAACGACAATTCAGCATTTTTTTTTCCTCCTCTTTCACTGGCGGAAAAGGTTCTGGATTCAATGCAGTCACAGATTGCACGAAACGCCTACTATTTTCTCATACAGCTGACAATTAATTAAGGTAACATTCAAAGACCATCTGTCCTTCGGCCGTAAATAGGTTGTGCCGGAACTTCAGCTGAAAAAAGCCCCGCGCAATTTGCAACAAATGCCAACGTGTTGAAACAATTTCTTCGTTTGATATGAACCGCGCCACGCGCAAACAAATGTCGCGTCACGGACGGATCTCGTGTCGTGGATTATTTACGATATTATAGATTTTATTGTCCCGTTTAACGGCTCACGGTGTCGATAGTATAATCGTATCCAACAACGCAACGTGTGATTTTTTATATCCCGTAACATCGAACAAAAACACTGTTTCGTTGTGTATGAAACATTCACACGAACTGATGAAAAGTGTAAAAGGACAGTTAAACATTCGATAGCCCAGACTGGAGTGTGACTATGCTGGAATAAATAGAAAATAGTAAAACTCGCGATTTTTTATTAAATGCAGAATCAGTTTTGTGTATTGCAGTTGTAGTTCGATTGAAATTGTACATGACTGTAAAATAACGCAAAATTATGTCGAAAGGTATTCTTTTTAAAATATATGATCGAGACTACACATTGGGGACAAGAGTTAAAAGTATTATAAACTAGTGAGCTGCAACCTGTTGGGAACAGAATATATTTTCATGTGTTTGTAGTTCGCGAAAGTACATATATGAGTAATCATGCTGTCGCAGGATCAAGATATGTAAGACCAGGCCTATCCAAAAACAAAAAATTCGAATCGGAATAATAGGGATTGAGAAAATTAAATCAAAGCAATCCCATCCCAGGAGAACTGTTCCAATCCAGACCCGAAAGACCTAAGTGAAGACAAAGCAAAATCAGGAAAGCAAATAGAGATGAATCTAACATGCAAAATCTTTAATTCAAATATTTATAGGCCGAGAATCTGAATCGACCTAGCAAACGATCGAAAGAGTCGACCGGTAACAAACTGAAATCGACAGGCAGGAATAGGTCAAATCAGGTTTTTGAAATAGAAATGAGGTTTATCCAGAATTGATAGGAGTAGATAAGATTCATTTCGAGTCGATAGAGTTGCAAAGCACTAACCTAGGTTGAATACATTAATATGGAACCAACACAAAGTGGATAGTCACGTATCAGATTAATTTAGAACAGAAAGGATTGAAGTGGACCGGAACAGAAACGGCAATCGAATCGATCGAACTTAGAACCTCCATACACGAAGATCATAACCACAGAACCATCTAGACTCAAGGACCCAAGCATGAATTTCTCTTGACCAAAGAAACTAACCACGTGGTACCCCGAACCCAAGGATTCAAGTCTCAGATCCCGCGAATACAAGGATCCAACTCTGAAGCCAGATTCACAGTAGCGTACAAAGGTACGGTCCGATCACAATCAATCTGAATTTAGACTATATTTCTCTCATTAGATTACGTATGATTGATAAAGACCGTTGTCTGATTTGCCGTGATCTGACCGGATCGTGACCACTAGTGTGAATCCGGCTTAAGACCTCTTGGAGTCAACGACTCAAGTGCAATAACGCCAGGACTCAAATACCGAGATTCGACACCTGCCTGGACCCACGAGCCAAAACCTCAGACACCCCTGACTCAGAGACACAAGACACCTCGGACTCAAGGATCTGGACCTGAGATCCTCTGGACCCAAGGGCCCAGATTCACGTCCCCCAGTCTGGGAGCTACTGAGCCTGGAATTTTAGAATTTCTGACTTGGGTCCTTGGGTCCAGAGGGTCTCAAACATTAATGCTTGTATCCGAGGGATTTCGGGCTTGGGTTTTTGAGTCTATGGGATCTCAGGCCTGAGTCTTTTGGTCTCAGAGGTCTTGAGCTAGGATCCTTCGAACTCCAGGATGTCAGGTTTATATTCAAAGGGCTTTAGACTTGGGTCATTGAGTCTAGGAGATCTCAGGTCTCAGGCTTCGATCCTGGGCTTTGATTCCTTGATCCGAAAGTGCTTCAGTACTATGGCTACGTTGACTGCAGTTCACGGGTTCTGGGCATTTCTTAGCTGCGGCTTGACGATTTGATATTTTTCGTTCCAGGTTGGCTCAACTCGTATTTTAAATAATAGGGTTCCTATTTGCATTATATCAAAACTTGGTGAAAACGAAAGAGCATATTTGTTATTGTTCTGTTTTTCTTTATTCCAGGGTATGAATGGGTTGGTTGGAGAAATGACACGCCGAACATGCTTGGACGTCCCGTTGAAATAACCTTTGAATTCGACTACACGAGGAATTTCACGGCCGTACACCTACACACGAACAATTACTTTACCAAAGATGTTCAGGTACGCAACAGTTCCTATTATTACAGAACAATTAAATTAGATGTGAAATACAATCATTTCAAGTACATATTTTAACATTACATTTCACATTAAAAACGAAGAATATTGTAGTAGATCTGGCATATATTCACTGTCGGGTACTGAACATAGAACATCGAAATGTAGTCACTTTTTTTGCAATATCTTTTTCATGAATAGAACAGTAAGTCATCGATGAGTGTTCGAAGGCTCAGCAGCACTGAACATTAAATATTTCATAAACTAATGGTTATATATCGCTGAAACAAATATCATCGACTTCAGAATCCCAAGCTCTATCACTGTTCTTAAATCTCATTAAAAAGTCAGCGTTACACCTGAGGACCTCTCCTTGTCAGTGTCGAGGAGCCTTCAAACACTCATCGATCATTTACTGTACTGTCATGTTTAAACATTGCAGCAATAAGAGTGCATTGCTCATGTTCGCGGAGGCACGTATTTGATACGCAATATCTATTAAACAATTTTACAAAATGAGCTTCCTTTCAAAAACTGTTATCGTTTTCCAATTATTGCACACACGATTTGTTTCTTCAGGTCATACAATATTTGCATGCAGCAGTATATTTACACAATGCATCTAATACACAAACAAATATAACGTGTTGAGTTCGATTAAAAACTCGAACTAACATCCTGTCCACAAAACGCCAATAACCCTCTCTTTAAAAAATTCCCATCTTCATCAACAATCCATCATATTTCCGCCCAAAAAAAATCGACGTGCATCGAAACGTGATTTGAAACTTTAAACAACAACATAACGAAATTGCGTTGCATCATTCGATCCCAAAACCACCGTTTCAATTCCATGTGCAAGATTAATGAAAAATCCATTCCGCCGCGGAACCTACGATATTTATACAATGAAAAACGTGTCGTAGAATGCTGAGCAACCCTATCGACAACGGATTAAATTTTTAATTCGATCGACATACCGGAGGTGGGCGTTTTCGTGCACCCAGGAAAAATGGAATTGCCCCGAGTGGCCAATAGTTATTGCCCTATTCCGTGTACACAGACGCGCTAGCGGGCACGCTTGCTTGGTTGCACGTCGGCCACGGGCGAAGAAGAAGAAGCGTTTCCATCACGTTCAACGATTTCCTCCCCTGTTTACCCGTTCGCCAATCGCTTCATCCCGTCTGCTCGCACCGTTACCGTACACATACACACGTACACACGCGCACGATTTCTCCGCAGGTCTTTTCGTACGCGAAGGTTTATCTTGGCGCCGGTGGAAACCAGTTCAACGGGGAGCCGGTCCAGTTCTCCTATATACCGGATCTGGTGTTGGAGCAGGCACGTGATGTTACCATAAAGCTACACTCGCGCGCCGGTCGCTTTCTGAAACTGCAGCTGTATTTCGCGGCCCGTTGGATCATGCTCAGCGAAGTAATCTTCGAATCAGGTAAGGGAAAACACAGACCGTTAACCCTCACACCCCCCTCGATAAAAATCTATTCCTCTTGGTCGGTCGTAAACCATGTTGTTCTTGTACCTATGTAAAAAAAAAAAGGGAACAGCCTGATGTTGTACGAGAAAAAAAGTGGGTGGGATAAGATAGGGGGAAGAAAATTCTCGTAGTGGTTAGATATCCAGGGCTAAATAACTTCCCGCGGATTTCAAGGATGCCACGGCAACTTGTTCGTGCTCCGAGTGTCTACCCCGCGGAGGAGGAGCCGCCTCTCTACTGTGAACTACGGGATCAAGGAACGGATGAGTTTCGGAGTACCTTTTCTTCGATATCCCCCACCCCCGACTGGGTCGATTCGATTTCCAATTTTCGGTGACACGTCCCCGTCGTTCCGACCCGTGGATGCGATGGAATTATTGAGAAAGATGAGGGATAATCAGACGCCCTGTGCGCTGACGGCGATACGTCAGAGCTGGGACGTTATTCCTATCGATGGGACAATGGATTCCCTGGCGTGGCTGTCTGGCGTAGAGCGCGCGATGGAATTTTCAGCCGTGATGAAAATGGTGCTTGATTTTTGGTTGGAATTTCAAGACCTTGAAATTCTTTTGTCACTGTGGACATTGGAAAGTTTTCACTTTTGAAAGGTGAAAAACTTGCCTCTTTTTCCCTTGAAGCAAGAAATATTCCAGTGATCATTTGGGGGGTCCACTGCAAGAAGGAACTATGCTACAACAATAACGTTGTGAGGTATTCAGGCTTTTATGAATAGTTTTTTAATTGGTGGACGTGTAGAGATCATACGAAGGTTAATTTCGTTTTTTTAAATGGAAAGACAGGTTGTTTTACGAACCGTCTAGTAGAGTGTTTTACGACGCATGCAATGGCATATTTTGTATGAAAGTACGTAAAAAAATATCTTTCCATTTAAAAAACACGAAGTTGACTATCATATGATCTCTACGCGCTTACTTATCAAAAAACTATTCACATCAAATTATGTAATTAGGTCTAAATTTGGTGTAACACATTTTTTTCTATCGTCAGTAATAGCCGAGATATTCAGATGGCCTGTTTAGGCGTCTCACCCTGTATTCAATCTTAATACAGGTAGGATATATGTTGATATATGTATGTTGCCATATAGATATAAAGTAAGGGATAAAAACTATACCCCAAAAGGTACAAGAATTAATAAAAATCTTACTTTTCATTTTGTGGTATACCTCCCTGTTTCACTGGACTCTTCATTTCGTTTCGGGAACATTTACGTCCATGAGATTGTAGGAACAGCAGTTGACATTTTGTTTGTAAATTTTCCTAACATGTCTACTTCAGAAACAAGAAATTGTAATTTTTGTTTTTTGTAAATTACAGACGTTCGTATCTGTATGAATTTCACGTAAATAACTTATGGATTACTCTTAACTCTCTATAACACGAAAGAGGGTAGTAAAGAGTGGTCATTTTTATGGTTCTCGTGACATTTAAAATATGAATGAAACATTATTCCATATGTTGAATACGTAATCATTTATCACCCATGTAGTGTTAAAGTTGTAAAGAGAAAAACAAATAAAGAGGGAGGTGCATGGGGTTTGTTCAATAAATTGGGAGTTGTTGACTTTAAATAATCATAATTTCTAAAAGAATGCATGAAATGCAAAGATTCAAACGCTGTTTCGTAGATAAAAATGTATATTTTAATCGTATGCATAAGAGCAACGCAGGAAACATTAAGTAACAACCTTAAAAAGCAATGAGTTGAGATAATAAATAACGATTCCAATATTCAAGGTACGGAATGTGTTTCTCATTATAATATAACTTGTAGTTGCTACAGTTCGTTCTCCTATTCTTCAGACGATAGAGTCTATAAAGAATAATATCTCATTACATTTCAGCTGTTGGAAGAACCAAAAATTTCGCCATTCTCCTTTACAATTATCGTTCAAAAAATTTTCACCCATACATGTATACTACTGACCAGGTGAACACATGTAACCTAAATTTTCAATCTTGAAGACTTTAGTTTTTCCTACAGTAGATTTTTCGACTTTAACATCAAATAGCAGAAAAACATGTTTACTTGTTTAAAATTGGTAAAATTGGTACGTGACGTCAAGGTTACACGGCGTAATAGGAGGTTAACTTTGAACGTGATTTTATTCTCATTGTATTCAATTAAACGTACACACAGGGGCAGGAAAGCGATTAAAGGAAAAGTTAAATAAAAATCTAGGGAAACGATTCGCGCCACGTTCACGGAAATGCGAACGTGAATTATACGATGCCCCCCACCGGAAGATGTGGAATTCCAACCACTTCGACGCTAAGCAATCGAAGTTATCTTTCACGGAACGAGAAAACATCGGGCGTACTGAGGGAATGATTAACGATGGTTTTCGCTCTTTCGGCTGGCTCACGGGGCCCGTGCCGACTTCTACGAGCGAGAAACTTTTTGAGGCTGTCTGCTTCGGAAGTAAGTTTCGTTTCTGGTTCGCGACCACGTGTTCTCATTCGAACAACGTGCCACGGATACTCGCGCTTTTTACCATACCGCCTGTGTTTTAAAGTCGACCGTGTTACATCGACGGAATAACCAACGTCGTAACTGATTTTTCGTTAATACGAACTACAGACGAGCGAAAAATTATGTAATTTATAATTTTCATTCTTGTGTGGAGAGACCTAGTTAGTTTCAAGGAGAATATTCTTCAACGAATCGTTACAAATGTAACTTCTAAGTAAACACCTTAATATTTTACGTTGTTTTTTGTTGAGAGTTTAGAGCATTTGTAGTCTTTCAAGAACAGACGTAATGTACAAGGTGGACCACGAAACTGGATCAGCTTAAATTATTCTACTGGTAGCTGTTCGACCGCAATTTTTTTTATGAATATAACATGTTTTCAGGAGAGCTTCAAAGCGATTGTACCAAATTTTTTGTCAATCTTTTTTTCCTGATTCTTCAAGGTCACCTTCAGTTTTTTGTAGATAAAACTATAATTTTTTTATGCTCATCTTTTAAAGAATCATTTTTTCTTCTTCTAAACCAAAGAAACATTAGGAAATTATCATTTACCATAATTTGAAGTAAACAGTTAAGAAACGACTGTTTTTAGTTCCACTTATAACGTACAATAATCTTACAAATATCTTGCAAAAGTAATTGAGGCCATTGACGGAAAAAGGGCGCATACGCCGAAACGCTCTTTCAAAAAAATCAATTTTAAAGTTTTCATTGGAGTATTATTTAACAAAAAGTAATGCAATTAAAACCAATTCTTTTTAAAGGTGTAGTAACATGTCCTTCAAACGTTCTGAAAACACAAGTTATTAAAAAGGTACTTTTATAAAAGTTAGCACTCGTAAACTCTATTAGCAGATATGAATCCAGTAGATTCACGCTCTTATTGGTCGGGGTTTTTCATTAAATCCCGTTATCAAAGCCTCGGATAACATTTAAGCTAAGGAAAAACAAGGACGCACAACACTCTTGTTACACCCTGTATAGAAGTTGGACCGCCTCCCGGATTTCAACGACCTTGGAATATGTTGTCAAGGTCATCATTTTGAACAACTTGTGATTATAGGTACATATAACCCCACAATTGGGGAATGATAAAAAACTTGATGCTTTTAAATTTTTTTTAATGTGGAACAACGATGCGCCGCCTCGTCATCTTTGCACAGGAATCGAGCCATCAAACGGCTGTCATCGATAGGGAAAATATAATTTATATCGATCCCGCGACATCTTGACTGTGAGGGGGGAGAGGGCTGGATGCGAAGAACATCGTTGACAGCAATTTCCCGGCTCGTAATTAATGTCCACTCTTAACAGCCGAACCGGGACGCAATTAACAATTCTCCGGGGCTGGCCCGTGCTCTTTTCAAGCCCGACGCTCATTGAACTGACCGTAAATTAAATGTTCGCCTCCCCCTTCTCCCAATGTACTCGGCGAGGCTTCACGGCGGAGGCCCCCGTGCTACGCTGGCAATTTATCGCAATGAGGTGAAAGTTTGAAATACGAGTATTTTGCATCGCGAAATTGCTCGTTCCGCCGAATGCTTCCGGCTCGACCGTGGAATACTTTTTTGTTGACAGCACTCGGTACTGAACGTGGTAGCTTTAACAGTACTTTTTCAACTTCCGAGACTTGATTTTCTTTCAATTAGAATGATGAAAGGATTCTCCGCGTTTCCGTAGTCCACTTGGAAGCTTTCGAGTTCTGTATTAATTAACATTTATTTTCGTGGAAACGTTTGAATAATTCATTGAAACGTTTAAGTAATATGATTTTTACAATGAAAATCAGATTGTATCGTAAAACGAGATAATTTCGCGAAATAAATATAATACAGAAACTGAATGAAAATAATATGTGTACAACAAAACGAAACGTAAAAGAGGTTTTTATTCTTCTACCATATCCACCACGTGGTGCTGCATAATATTATCATTTAGTTTACCGCTCCCTATGAAAGATAAAATATAATTGGTCTGGAATAAAATCCTCCATTTCAAACTCAAAAGCATTTTTTCCAACCCAAGAAGACCATGTAAATAATGTGGAGTATAACATAATTATTTAGAGAAGCTAAAAGAACGTCGAATGCAATATCCCAGGAAATTTGATACTTTCGAAAATTAAATTTCGTGTAAATAAATTTCATGTCATAATTTTCATGTATTCTTTGGAATAATCTCTTCTAAATTCTGCCACTTGCGAATGATCCTAACGAATCATTTGAATTGCAAACGAACTAAAGCTTATTGTTCACGAAACCAGTGAGAGAAATTTAAAACGATTCGACAGTTGTATTAATTTGTCGCCGCATTAGAGAGATATGGGCGCGTTTAAAAGATTGACCGAGACATTTCATTCCTTTGATGGCCGCAAATTTCATTATTCCTCATCCATGATGCGCAGTAATCTCCGAATGGAACAACACCGAGGACGAGGAGCCGAGGAACAAGAGCGGCATTGTACTGGCAACCGGCAGCCCCTATCAGAATAACGAGGGTCCGCTGCAGAGGGACGAAGTGAAGGCCACTTTTAATAAGGAGGAAAACAACGATAACGCCCGTAAGTCCTACAGCCGCCTGGTTTCTGGTATTGTTGCATCGAAGGGTCCTTTTTCGCAATTTTCCGCACGATTTCCACTCTTCTTTATTCCCCCCTCCTTTTTCCAGCCGACCTTTTTGTTTGTGCTCCGATGCTGCACGAAAATTGAATGCCGATCACGAACAGCCGCCTTTTTTCCCCGTTGCTTTTCCTTTTTTTTTTCTGTTTTGTTGTTCCTCCTGTTCACTTTAACAATGTTGATTGGGTACAATGACGGTGAAAGGGGGCATAGTTGAAAAAGAAAAATTGGATTTCGATTTCCATTATTGCAGGCTGCTTTTGAACGGAACCGTTCGATGCGGTTAATATCGGATGTTGTAATTGCACTTTTCTGAATTTTCGTGAATGCAATTCCCCCAGAAAATTTCGCTGCTTATCAAAATTTAATATACACCCATATAGAATATAAAATTAGCAAAAATAAATATTCTAGTATCAATCGAGTTGCGGTAATAATTCGCGAAAAATATTATTAGTAGTTATAGGACAACGAGATTAGAAAATCTGTGTAGATTGTCTGAAGTATAACGGAAATATAAATTATATATTTATCCGATAATACGTATATAAATACAGTAGCAAATTTAATAGTAGTAGCAGATTTACCATGCGTTGTGCAGAGTTGCACACAACTTTATTTGAATAATACATAGTGAAAAGCAGCAGTATCTACGATCGTCATCCTAATTATTATTTGCCAAGTGTCTCTTCATTCAAGAACAAATATTATTTTATTATAAATATTGGAAGTTCCACGTATAATCAATTCAAAATGACGAAGTTCTTCCTTTTATCTTTTATTCATTATTTGGAACTTATCATTATCTAGATAATGATATTCATTATCTAGATAATGAATTTACCCATCTCTGGTGTTCGATGACTACATATGGGTACCAATGCTGCCACCATATGGGGCGTGTCATTCGTTTTGGACTTCTTCCACGCTCTATTATAAACAAAAGACAACATATAGTAATCCAAGCACAGAATTTCAAAATTTTCGTGCTTAACATAGTTGTCAGTAAATGTCGACATGTAGTACAGAGTCTCGGTTTTTTTTAAACCAGATATAGAGTAGGGGAAATGCCATTCACTCGCGAGTAAGCTACACGATTCGCCATTCCTTCAATAACTAGCGAATAGCAGAGCTGCCATTCGTTCAACAGGCTAAACCAGTGCTGCCCAATAATGGGGATCGTAATACGCAGCGTATGATACGCTTCACTTCCTCACCACCCGTTAATGTAAACAAGGGGCAACGATAGCGAAAAAAGAGAGAATTCCAAGATTCTTGCGTTCGATACAAATGGCAGTGAATGCTGTCACGTTTAGCACTTTGGTTTTCTTTCGAATATGGGAAATGATGTAGATGAAGATATCAATAAGTCCGTGAAATAAGGCTGTCATTTTGTATTACGAAGTCACACCGTGCAGACGACGAAGTTTCGGAGTAAAGTGAAGTGTCCTTTATTGAACTCCAGTAATTGATTATCTATTTCCTATTTAATTGCGTTTCTTTTCGAACAAATGTTTTTGGAATAATGCAAAATTTGAATTTCAAAAAACGTGTAAACATCAAATTTCTAACGAAATTTAAATTTAGTATTCTTCTGTCATCGATATCTCTCTTTCATCTCAAGACGTAATAATTGTCTTCTATTCTGTTCGTTATAATTCTGGGTTCTTGATCAAACGTGACGAAACGACGGAGACCTAGAATTCTCTTTCTCCGCGAGAGGTCTATAAACCGATAATGTACCCTGTACCGTCCCTTTATTTTATTTTCGTCGGGGAAGAAAGCAAAATCTAATTAATTTCCTTTCTTCCGGCTCTGTTCCCCGGAGAGTACTTCACTTTGACGCCGAAGTGTTAAAAGAAGTAAATCTAAAGTACCCCGCTGGCCGACGTTTCCGTGTCCTCGTTTTGCCCGATAAACGGTCTAATTGTTATCCAGTAGTTCTTCCTTTGAGTCGTCCGGACGATATTAAGTTTAATCGACCGTTTTTACGACCGAGTTCACGGGACTTATTTTACTTTCTGCAATGCAAATAGACTGAATTGTGCTCGATCCCCCCTTCACTTTTTTTGTGTCAATCGTCGAGTAGACCTTCCTGGAACTTTAAAGCGCTGTAATGCTTTAAATTACAAAGACGAACAAAGATTGTTTTACAGAATTAAATTTTCATTGAGGTTTTCTGAGTATTCTGTTATATTTTATTGGACCTATTATTACTCAGTTTTTTGGTACCAAATATTAATACAGATATTAAATAGGTACCAAATATTAAATGTAGAATTACCTACTACAGTAACGTCTTGATGAGTGCGACGAACTCGGGTCCGCTTCGAAGCACACGTGGCAAGGCGTAAAGGTTTTCAGCCCCTCATAAATTTGTTTTTTGCACGAAGCCGAGCCTCTGCTTAGCTTCTCTTTATTATCTTTTGATTGGTTTCAGAAGGGGACTAACGCCATTGTTCGTTTCGCATTGGTCGAGTATTTACTGTACTATTTTTCCGTTATTATTCATTATAATTTTCGCCACTTATAGCGAAATATATTTTTTTTACTAGACCCAATAACTAATTTCACGCTTCCAATAATTGTTGATCATTGCTCGTACAATAAATAGGTATAAGTACCCATGTGTCTGCAGATAAGACTACAATAGTAACAACTAAAGAGGTACTATTGTACTTTCCTCTCAAGTATCTTTAAATACACATAATTTCTGATTTACTCGACAATATAATTGAATAAAATAGTAACTCTATAATACATTTATAAATATTGTACTAAATACCATGTACACGCAAGATATCGATAAGAATATTGAAAGTATTTGCATTTACACAATGCGATGCTTGTAGGACTCGTTACATTCGGTCGTTCACGGGACGGAACTAATATTCCTTTGCCGGCGCAATAATCTTCAGCTTGCAGAAAGCCAACAGAAAGTGCCCCAGCAAGAAACGTATACACAAAGTGTAAGGGTGTGTTTCCTCTCGCGTCGGCTCGTAGTGTATTTGCGCGGAGCGTTACAGCGCGACTTTAGTAGAGAAACGAAATGAGACCCCGGTTCGTAACGATCTGAAGTTGCCGATAAAACGATATTCGTTCGAACGGAAAAATAACAAATCGCTTTTGGGGTGAACTCCAGAAAGAATTCAATTTATTTTTTTCTTGTCGTTCTATGAGTTCAGCGTCAAATGACAACAATCAATGGATCGTGAAGTAAAAGCAACCGATCGATAATGCTGATCGTAAGTGATCCAATTATGACGAGGACGATGAACGCAATCATCATTATCGCCCCATCGTGTATTATGCGAGGCTGCCTTCACGATAATATCCACCGTGATAGGTCATGTACACCCGGTGTATCCGATGGTCAGCCTGGGTAGACAGTGGTGACATGTACACGTGCGTGCGTGCCTTGGATCACGTACGATTGTGAAGCTTGAAAAGCACGTACGAATCGAACCGCGGGGTCGTCGTTTCACTCTTCGTCACCTCGGCTAATTGCATGCTATTGAACAGTCTTACGACATAATTCAGTCGTAAATGGAGGAAACTAAGTAAATTTGTAGAAAATTGATTGCTTCAATTTTCCTAGATTTATCGTGGTTTCATTATTGCTGCCACGTGGTTTGTAAACTTCAGCATTATATATTTCATTCGACACTTTAAATAGAAATTATTAGTTCATTTCGAAGCAATCTACAGTAAATCGTCGATGAATGTTCGAGGGATCCTCGGCACTGAGTGTTCAGACGTCATCTGTACCTACTGTATGTATAATCTCTTTGTCACTATTCTGGGTAAGAGACTGGCGACAGGGGACTGATGAACTTCGTGAAAAATGAAGATAATCTTAGAACCATTTACCAAAGCAAGTTTATTGTTTGTCACAAATGGAAATAAATAAAATTATACGTATCAATAGACTGATAATGTGACTAACTTCCAAGCGTATTTCACTCACAAACAGGCTGCTCACACTGTTTTAATGTGTACAAGACGACCGAGCGGAAATGAGACGCTTCTGTATCTCAGATTACGGTTGACGTTAAAAACTGAATCGACACTAATCGTGACGCGTAATTATTTCTTACAATTTGTTAAATTTCATAAACAACAAGGAACTGGCGTATGAAACTGATCACGTAAATTTAATGAAAAATTGCGGAAAGTAATAAAGTAATTTTGAATAAAAACTTACTTTAATAATATATTAAATGTGTCTACAATTAATTTCACAATGAAAAAAGTAGATTGTTTTAGATCATTTTGGAAATATAAACGGTACTTCGTTCAGTATTGAAGTGATCACCCGCCAGGGGATTGATATTTTCAGTGGAAAGTGGAGATCTAAAAGATATTATTCCACAAAAAAATATTATTCAAGTTAGATTACAAAGGGAAGGGATAATTTCCTTCTGTTTCAAGATAAAAAATATACCATAATCCAAGTTTTGATATTGGCTATGGCTTTAGCACACCAAAATGCCCAATTTTCGTAGAACTACTGGTATAACGGCATCATTCTCCTTGCATTGATATACTTTCTGTTTAACGTAGGAAATGTCACTTCCCCTATGAATCTATGCGTTCTCATTTGGTTTTATTAATCCATGTAAGTGGAAGACACTAGTAAGTAGAAAAGTGACAAACTCGCATGGCAGCTCTGCTGCCTGATTAATTGACAATCGTATTAAGTGGCGAAACCCCAGACCAGAGATGGGCAAACTATTAATTATGGCAACTCATTATCTAGATAAAAAGTTTCGAATAACGCATAAAAGATAAAAAAAAGTATTTCGTCATTTATAATTGTTTAAACGTGGAAATTTCAATTTTTGTAATAAAATAATACTTCTTTATGAATGAATCGACATTTGTCGAACAATTATTTAATCTCATTAACTGTTTAAAGCTCAGAGCGAGACCCTTAGATACTGCTGCTTTTCACTGTGTATTATTCGAATAAAATTCTGCCTAACTCTGCCCCAAACCAAGTACAAAGATGCATTATAATATCTGTATCTATATGTAAATATTTCGAATTAGTTCCAGAAAAGAGCCGGGAGCCAGAATCGAAGCAGTTCGTCGGTCTGGTGATCGGGATCCTAACAACAGTGATCGTAATGCTCCTAGCAGCGATCATGTTCATCTTTTATCGTAACCGAAGAACCAAAGCGGCCCTCGTGCCGTCCACATTCTACGATCAGCACGGCGATCTAAAGGTGAGACGAACTCGAACCAAACATAATTTATCGAACTCCAAACTCCCTCGAAAGACTAGATTTCACTAACCGGATTATTAAAGTTTTCTCTGCTAACTCGATGTCCGGGATGGCGGCGTTTTACGTCCCGAATGAGATTAAAACGCGCGTCAACGGGTGACGGTAGGTAGATAACCCTGGCGAAAACCACGTCTTTCTTCCTACTCTTCCATTTTAATTGATTTAAAAGAAACGCGCGATTTAAACGGGATTACAACAGAAGCATACGGAAACCTAAATAAAAGGTGAACAAACAGGCGAGTCGTAGAATTTTCCAAGGGAATTCAATCAGCCGGCTGAATCCATCGTTTAAAACTTTCGAATTACCTTCCGTACCCAAAGTTTACATTGACCTCGAATCTCATTTAAAATCCACGGGAACCGGGACGCATTTATTTCAACCCCGGCTTCGCTGCCGTGTGTCTTTCACGTCACATAGCGGATGACCTTTTTTTTTTTTTCGTACGTCACATTCCCGACGAAACGATAATTGTTAGTAACTCGAGACGATCGTCGTGGTATTTCGTTCGATACGTAACAAGGGCTAGGCGATCCGGAGAACGAAGCATTGAATTATCGTCTTGTTACCGACCGAGAGTAATGCCTTAACTCGACGCTGCCAATTTGGTAAACGACGTCGATCCTGTTTCCCTTCGTTCTCCACACAGGTGGGGAATGAGGGGACGCGATTTTTCTATGGCGCGACTCGATCTCCCCTGCTACGACGAGATTCATTTTGTCCCTAATAAACCGAACCGAAGGGATGGGCCACCCCCGACCTATTTGCTCTCCGTTTTCCAGGGGCCGTTCGGCGAAAAGGCTTTTGAGCAATCATGGAAAACGTCTTAGCCGTGTTAGACACGATGGCTTTGGATGCTGGCCATGGAAGCTGAGAGGAGTCGGGGGTGGGGTTGGCCAAATATTTTCGTTGAAGCCGGTAAAGGGCGAACGAGATCGTGAATCGACGGTTGGAACGAGGTTTCGAAAGGAATATGGTGTTGCCTGGGAAATCTTGAACGTCTTGACCTCGATAATCACGAATTATAAATGACTTCTACTTCTAGGAATCGTTTAATCCGGGAATCTTGTAAGATTTTGCTTGGAAAGTCAACGTTATCTAGTCGAAGAGAGTGTCCCAGTGCTTTTAACGTCAATATAGAAATACCATGAAAGTGGTTTTAGAAGAAATTCTGTGTATAGAAGTTGAGTTGAAGAACAGTTTAATGCTGAATATATCGTCATTTTCGAATATTTTTGTAAGCGACACTACGAATTAGTAGTTAAAAAAGGAACAGAAATATATATTACCTATAAATTATATACAAGGTGAGTTTCGTAAGATGACTGTTTCAAATATCTTGTGAATTGTATGAAAAAATGTTCTCATTTGGTTTAAAGAACGGAAGGTGATTTGCATATCTCGATAAAGAAGCCGAGTAACAACAAATCGATTACAGTACTGTATGTCCCCTTGGAAACCATGCAATATTTTTCTGAAACATTTTTTCGTTACAAATAATTTACGAGTTATTGAAAGTCATCATCTTTCGAAACTCTTTCTGTATATAGAATTTATTGATACATTGCTAAGTACAGTTTTACGTAGAATGTAAGTACGAATACATTATCTAGTATTTACTGATTATTCTCTTTAACTGTACATTCTAAGTACACTCCAAAGAAGCACATGATATTCCACTTCTGCCCAAAAATAATATAAATCTACCTTCATCCTTAGTGGAGCACAGTTGAGACAAATTTTTTACAAAATAAAACCAATGTTCCTTTTATCTTCTAAAGTCTTCTCACCGACAACACTATCAAATATTCTATTCGCTGTACATACTCAAAGAAAATCGCCCGAGCCATGGGAAAAAAAGACAGCACGTAAAATCAGCAACCGCATCGAAAACTTCCAATAACTTTCTAACTCCGTATCCTAGTGAACATATCGTTCAAGTAATATCGTTCGAGAAAAAAATGTCACCGAAGGAAATTTTCACTGTGTTTCATATTGGCCACCCAGTCATTCGCATTTTATTACACTTCTTTCGTGATATCAGGCCAACAGATATTAACGTGGCCAGTTTCCGGCGGGCGAATTCCATGTTTCAAAATTCTTCAAAGCGAATGGAGACGACGTATCTTGGCATTTTATTTAAAGAGAGGAATGTCTATATCTTCCTCGTAAATTCCTATCCAGGGTGCGCAGGAGAATTATTAACAGGTTGACTGCCACCATGAAAAAGGCCGTACGTAGCCAGACACACTTTGTTTCATTTTTAAAGTTATGGAAAATATATGCATTTAGTTAACAGAGATTTGTTGGTCTTGTATTAAATTATACTGCGATACTACTCTTACGCAAAATTTTCTAACGGTATGTAACACTAGAACTGCCAAACGAGTCAAAAGGAATTGTCAGTACTCTTATAACAATCACTAAAATGTTATTATATTACGTTTTCTGAGATCCTTAGCAACTTTTACAACGTTACGAAAGTGGAGACATTATGTAACTTACAAAGGGTACCTATAGAAGGAAAAGGGGGTGAACAGTGTCCTTACATCGATTTGGACTTGTGGTATATCATTCGATATCTTATCAAGAATAAATAGTTTGTGTCAAGTTTCAACCATCTATCTGGACTAGGAGGGTAGTAATAGGGAAAATTCGGATTGTCGGTTTTTCCTCTATTTTGCCTGTTTAATGAATAAAATCTGACAGATAGTATTTCCGGGGTATGCGGTAGAGAATTTTTGCGATTTTTAAATTCAGTATTCTAGTTGTGAAAAATCAAAAACTTCCAAATTGGCGTAAGGGAACTTTTAATCTCCTTATTTTATAACCTTTGTAAATTTTCAAAAGTTCATATGTGGCTCACGTGGCAGTCAATGTGTTAATGTTGTATATTTGTTGTCCATTCGTGATGGGCGGTGTTCCACATCACCAAAAATTCTGTCCCCTCTGCAACGTCGGTCGTAATGAGAGAGCCGGGGCCCAGGCCTCAACACGAAAAATTAATTACCGCTGTTGGCGCGGCGAACTGCGCTGGAGAACGCGTGGCGACGACGGAAGGAAAGGTGAACAGCGCGCGAGAATACACAAAGGGAAGAAAAAAATAAAGAGGAGAAACTACCACCACCTCCGGGGCGAAGGCATTCCGACTTTTTCCCCCTTTGTATTGAACGAAAGAAACGAGACGCGACGGAGAACGCGGAAATATGTAAATGCACGGAAAACGTGTTTCTTGGAGAATTGGTATTTAACGAAGCAAGAGGTCGAAGGAAAAGCAGAGGCGAGACCGGGTTTCGTCTGAAACCATTGTGGAATTGAACGAACTAAAATTCCGTATGCGGAATTGAATAATGGGTTTAATTCGATTTAGGTTGAATAATGATTGCACTTTTACATTCACATTTTTCTTGTTTTTTATTCTTCGTTATACTGTGCGCATATTGTGCATGGGTGGATTATCTTAGCATGTAAAACCTAGTGAAGTATAAAAAATCACATGGTCAGTGTTCCGTCGTAGACCGAAACGACGGTTATACAGTCAGACGATACCGTTACTTTTTATTATTTTATTCCTTTTTTTCAGTCAATTTATATATTTTGCAAGACCGACCCTTTGCAATTTTAATTTCGTTAACACAAAGAGAATAATAGACAAAAGAAGCGAACATTTGGTCTGCAGTCCGCCACATGCGCTCGGTAACCTGGGACCCATCCGCGCCGGGCCTTACCGGGGCGCGCTGACTCGCAGACAATATAATCATAAAACCCTACCGTTGAGAGACTCGAAAATTCGTCGCGGTCAACTCGCACCGCGACCACGTGCGCGATATTTTCCTGACGTCCGCTTCGCCCTGAAGGAGAGGTATTCCACCTCCGCGTCGCGTGAAAAACCCGAGAAATTTGCCTTCCCCTTCAGGGCATCACCAATAAGGAGGCGAGTTTTGGTCACGCCTTCATCAAACTTTGAGGAAGCGCGACGTCACACGAAACTCGAACAGACAGTCGAAAAGATACACACAGTCGAAAAGATACATACAGTCGAAAAGATACATTCAGTCGAAAACATTCAATAGAAAACACTCGTTCGCAAACACTCGTTCGCAAAACATACTCGTTACGACTAGAGTCACACGGACTCAATTCATTCGCATTAACTCGCAATCGAACAATCATTCGACAACATTCGCATCACGATTCGCCAGCTCCAACGGTCGAGCAATTATTCGTTTTTCTCACTAAGAAATTGAAACAGTTGCCTAAAATTAATTTGGCGGGCAACAGTTCGCAACCGGACGCGTACCACGACGGTCGAGCCTGGAATTTACAACTCCAGGCGGATTCGAAAGAGAAATCCACGCGGACGGACGCGACAGTCAGCTGTGTGAAATATGCCAAAGATGACACATATACATATGAAATATATTTACCCTTTCGTTTACAAATTATTTAATATTACGAAAGAAATATTTTGTTGTATTTTTGTATATATTAAGTGACATAATTGATTCACAAGACCATTTTAATATTTTGAGACGGTCTAATGCTATTTTTCATTCGGCGCCATTTGACAATTTTTGTTACTTTTATCACAGTTAGCTATATATAATATAACACTAGAACTGATATAATAACTAGTCAATACACTCTTACAACGACGATTAAAATGTTATGACAATACATTGTCTCAGATCTTTTGCACCTTTTATTACGATATGAAAGTGAAGAAATTAGTCAGTTTCTAAATTTCTAAATTTTCAAAAGTTTTTCACGTTTATCCACCGATCGAAGCAAATAAGCGTTTATCGTCGGTAGTTCTAGTGTTAATCATATTTTATTGGTCGAAAATTGAGACTGAAATTATAATTATAAATGAAGATGCATAACAGATCCACTTTTTACGTGTGGCTGTGCTAATTGACATAGTAAATCTGGATTACTGAAA